TCTTGCGCCCCCCCCCCCCCCCCCCCAATCATGCTCCTGACTACAATCTCAATACAAATTGGCAAACTAAAAGTAAGATTAAGGTCCATCACAGGAGCGGTGGCTACTTTTACACCACACACAGGGACCATAGGGAACAAAAGTAGCCACCCTCCAGAAGGCTGGTGTCAGCAACAATTTAGAGATAATTTCAGGATCTACAATGTGATGCACAAATCAGATACATTTTTGTTAATAGGTATAGTACTTGAATGCATGTTTTTTAGATTTAGCTACTGAGTTCAGTGTCACTTCAAAGCAATACTGTTGCATTGCCATTCATGGGTAGCTTCACACAGCACAGGTTTACATCAACCATACCTAAACCGCTTGACTACCAGTGTATGTTATTAAAAGACAGATTGGGGGACTTTGATTCCCCCACTGCCATTTAAAAACATCATTGGAAAAAAGACCCACCAGACATCATTAAATGCCTTGTTTTGATAAAGTTTTTAATATGTCTTGAGTTCCACTTTAAATGTACTATTCAGGTACAGGATGGAATTTATAAGCCATAGTTAATTTTGTTTGTTTTTTAATTAAACTTTACATATATCTGTGTGAGGCTTATATTGTGGTTGATCACAGAACATCCTGCAGTGTGATGTCATCCTGCCCAATCATTGAAACATCACACAGTGGTAAATGGTACATAGTATCAATAATAATTATACTAAGAGTTAGTTTTGAAAATAAGGCAATACAGCGATGGCAGGCTGTTGTTATGTAAAACCTTAAGTTTCAGCTGGTTGTAGTTTCTAGAAATTATCTATCTACCCATTATTTATAATTTACCTCATTTTTTGCTTCTCTTGCAGTAACCATGAAGGACCGTCTTAGTGAGCTGCTGGAGTATTCAAGACTTCATAGTCAATATGTTCAAAATGGTGAAGAAGATCTTTCCCAAGACCTGGCTATGTTTGAAACAGACCATTCTTTAGAAGTTCTCTACAATGATATACAGCTCATTCGGACAGAGAACCACTTACTGAAAGTTGATATAAAACGACTGGGGAAGCAAACCACGCGCTTTCTTACTTCAATGCGTCGCCTTAGCAGTATCAAAAGAGATTCAAACAGTATTGCTAAAGACATTAAGCTACGGGGAGAAGGCATCCACAAAAAACTTCAAAGCCTCAAAAACCTTAGTGAAGATGCTGAGAGCACCCATGGGGAGAATGCGGTTTTTGCCCGTGTAGCTAAAGCGCAGTATATTACGCTCACACGTGCGTTCCAGAAAGCCATGGTTGACTACAATGAAGCTGAAATGGTTCAGAGGGAGAACTGCAAGATCCGCATACAGCGCCAGCTGGAGATAATGGGCAAAGATGTATCTGGAAACCAGATAGAAGATATGATGGAACAAGGGAAATGGGATGTCTTCTCTGAAAATCTTCTGTCTGATGTTAAAGTTGCCCGTTCAGCCCTTAATGAAATTGAAACCCGACACAAAGAATTACTAAAGCTAGAGAATCGCATAAGAGAGGTCCATGACCTCTTCTTACAGATGGCCCTGTTGGTTGAAGAGCAGGCTGAGACTCTTAACGTTGTTGAGTTAAACTTGGAAAAGGTTAAAGATTATGTTAGCGTTGCCAAAGCTCAGATCAAACAAGCTGTGGAATATAAGAAGAAGAATCCATGCCGTCAATGTTTCTGTTGTTGCTTTCCTTGCTGTAACTAAACTAAAATAATACAAATGGCGGTGTTAACAGGCTGGGATTTGCAAAGGAAAAAAAACAGTTGCAATGTACATGGACCTCATTTACAACCAACAGAACGGATGCAACAGGGTAACCAAAGTTGTTTTTTTTTTAGAGGGGCTTCGTTGGTCACCAAATGTGTGACATACAGCTGCATCTGAAAATGTGGTGTCTCTGCATATAAGAATAAGAAAATGTAAAAATCTACATGCTTCTGAGGTGAAGGCCATAAGGAATCCAACTATGTTAATAGAATTGAGACTAAAATATAGTTCAGTATTTAGTGGAACATTGGCATACCATGATGCTTTAGTAATTGCAAATGGTTTTAAATAATATTTTTATGTTCGATGCATAAAAGGCATAAATAAATGGCTTGGTGTTATGTCCTTTATGGTTATGATGTATTATTAAAAGTGTGAAATGATCTGCTATAAAACCGTGAATCTGACTTTCACTAAACATTTATTCCAGAATGATGTGTTTTTTAAATGACAGTGATTCACCACTGATGAATGTTTGATGCCAGCTACATTCAATGCTTTGTCAATATGCCACTATTTGTTGTTAACCTGAAAACTGCTGTGAACTTGCTGAATTCTGCCATGGCAAGCGGAAGCCTTTATCTCTCTACTGGAGTAGGCATCTGGAAACATAGATTGCGTGAGTTAGTGCTTCCTAAAGCTCAAAGTGGCAGCACAACTAAATACAACTCCAGTGGTACAACCCCAGCCAAGTATTTAGCCCACTGTTAAAAACCCATCCTTTTTAAAATTGTACTCCCGGTGGATCTAAAATATTTATTGCAGTTATGTGTTCCTTTTAATAGTGTATTTTTACTTACAATCAACATAAGTCCCTAAAATCTATTTTTATATCAACCTAAACCTGTTAATCATGCCCTTCTGCATATATATGTGCTGGCAGGGGGAGAGAGCAGAGTAAGTTGAGTTAATGACTTATCAGAGTTGCTGCTGTTCATTCATTGTTTAGTCAGCAGGCTCTGATGTGACCCTCCTGGGTGTCATGCCTTGCAGAGGTGTGAGTCACAAACTTAGCTGTACAAATCCTTTGACAGAAAGGAAACCATTTTATTTGTTTCAACTGTGTGGGTTACAAGTTCTACAGGTTGCACAGCTACATAAAATCATTTAACGCTTGTTCACATGGGCGTGAATTGCCTTACACCCTAAAAGGCAGACAATACTTCTGCGTCCAGGAGTGATGGGAGTTGCATACAGCTGTGGGTAGCATCCTGTAGAAATCAGTGACAGGTTGCAGCTGTAAGCATATACCTACACACCTGTGCGTTTTGCATCCATTGAAGAAGGATGAGTGGCCTTGGATACAGATGTAAACACTTGGATGTGTACAGCCGCTACCTGTCATTTTGATTTGTACATGCTGCTACCTGTGGCTGTATGCAAGATCTGTCACTCCCAGGTTCAGAAGTACTGGTGTATGGCCATTCATGAATGAGCCCTTATTGTGTAGAAAAGCCAATAGCTCATTCTGAACAATGAACACAATCGAGAAATTAACTATATTCATTGTCCTGTTTGCTATTTTCAAATGTTAGTGTTTAAATTTGTTAATTTCATATTTTGCATTGTATTAAAAGCTTTGCACACACACTTTGTAAACCTTATTTTATCAGGCCGTGCCATGAGCAATTCATTATACAATACAAAGAGAAATTTCAACACCCAACAAAATAATGCTGAGGCGAAAATGTTTAGAGAAAAAGCAGGACGGAGGTTGATAAAGGTATAGGCAGAAATACCTTCTTGTTAAAGGAAACTGTACTGACAATTTGGAGGCTAACATTGCTGCCTTCTCCTTCTGAACATGCTGGTTGCCTGACTGTGAAGCTGACCCAATAACTTTAATACTTTGAAGCATTGTCCTTGAAGAGGAATGTGGATCAGGAATTTCGTTTGTGTCAGTGACTTACCATACTGATGCCAGAGACAGCCAGGCAACTGGTATTCTTTGCAGTTCAGCAAAGGCAGCACCCCTATGTCTTCTTTAGGTAATTCCCCACTGGTTCCTGGATTCAAAATTACAGGCTATAGATGGTGATGATGGCAGATAATCCAGCACTTGGTTTCTACAAAGTACATTCTTGTTTTTGAAAATACAGTAAAAGCTTGACATAGAAAAAATATTAGCTAACAGCTATTTCACATATACAGGATGTGCTTTGTCAATATGGGTGATGACAAAGCATGCCATGTGTGTGTAAAACAGAATTGCATTGTTTTCCTCTTTTGTGCTTTTTAGTATGTGTAAAATAATAGACTACTCTAAAGCTGGCTGTACACTGCTCACATTTCATCCAGCTCACCAAAATGTGAACAGTGTGCGACTCTGTCGGCACCCCTCCAGTCAGCAAAAGTATTCTTTTTTTCTTCAACTTTTGTTGAAGGAGTTGGTCCAGAATGGCTGCAGCCAATAATCTGTTTTAGCATGGATGGGGAAATCTAGCATCTCTTTCCAGCGGGCTGAAATGTTTTTTTTCTCAATCAGTGCATGGCCAGCTTTAGAGGACTACAAAAGCTGAATTAGCGGGCATACTTTAACATAGTGCAATGATGATGATTAGAGAATGGTAACAACCAATCTGCAATCATCTAGCTAGAGCAAACATCAATATTTTTATTCTTGTATACATTATTAATTCCTTAAGTGTATTTGTGCAATATGTGCCCCAATGTTTAAAGCCTTTTAGCAGAATAAGTTCTGTATAGTATTTATTGCCTAAGGCAAATACACTGACTATTTTTTTTTTCTGTTACACCTGAATATTCCTATGTTCATTTATGCAGTTCTGGAACTTCAGCAATGGTCAATAACTAATTGTACGCTTCTTGACAAACTGGACAAATCTGTATGTATATTTGCTTTGAAAAATGTGTAATTTACCTGATTTGTAAGTCAATTTGCTTAGAATTTGTTACAAACTAGTGGAGTGACATGTCTTATTATTTTATTATATTTTTTTCGTTTGCTTTATCAAGGCAATGCATTTTTTCTTTTTTACAAATTCTTCACTATCTTCATCTCTGGTGCCCAACCTGTGGCCCTTTCAAGTGGAATCTCCCCTTTATCTTCAAAATGACAACAAAGCACCTTAGGAAATGTTGGGTAATGGCAATCTTCAGATACTTATATAAAATTGCAGGGTTTTTATTCTTTATATATCTTCTTTTCCTTTCCCTCCCCAATCTTCTCATGGTGGCCATTGCGACTTGGGGCAGATGAATCCATCTTCCTTTTACTTCCTGTAAATCTGTGTCTTCCTGCTGGGACATGTGACGGTATACATCTAAGGAGGAAAAATGCTTTTGAAAAATGTTGATCTCAAAAGTTTTTGAAGTCTACAGATAAGCTTTCTGAGGAAGGCACTAGTGATGTAGCCATTCCAGGATGTATCTGTGAGTCCAGGGCTACATTTCTTTGGCTTTATTCAACCAGGAAGTAGAGAAACAGTAAATTGTAAATAAAAGTTTGTTTAATGAATGCTACATGATTCCATATCAGCAGGCGGAGCTGCATTCTCATGTGATTTTTGAGTGTAAAGAGACCATAATGATGGTGATCTAGCAGTCTCATGCAGTCTGCAGTCTCTGATCATATCTTCTTGTCACATACAGATTTTTTTGTGTTGCCTTTTGGAGCTGTCACGGGCCAACGTTTACGTCCCCTTGTACATTGTAAACCACTGGTTACTTCATTGTCGCTTAGAATTGGTGTAAATCAATTGGAAATGGTGTCGCCCAACAGCTTTACATGGAAAAAGAGGTTGGAGCAAGGGTAGGCACCCTGGGATCTTCAGATGTTGCAGGACATGTGGCATTGCATTTGTATTTTCAAAACAGATGGAGTGCCAAGGTTGTCTTCACTTCGGATAGAGTTTCTACTAGTTTACAAACAAAACACCTTTTCATCACATTTTGACAAGTACACTTCACTGGATTCCCATTTGAGAATACCTTTGGCACATATATGAACTATGGTTCCTACGTCATGTAGCAGAAATAACCGTACATACAGTATACTTTAGCCATTTGTAAAAAACAATGGTGTGTCTCTCTGTATCACCCAGGGCGAAGGGGTTCACATTCACCAAAAATCTGGCACATTGTTCAAACCTTACCTGACATTCCATGTGTCTCTAGAAAAAGATGTTTTTTGTGTTTCTTATTTTTACTAAATTTAAACTCTAACCCGGTAAGTACTATAAGGTTTCACTTGCTATGAACCTTGCAGTCTGAAAGTTAGACCATTTAAACAGCTTTAAAGTGTATCTTAAAGCCAAAGTTTTTTTTATAAATAGAATGGGGAAGGGTTAAAACCCCTGTTTTTTTGTTTTTTAATATTGCAGTCTATCCCTGCTTGAAATATTCACCTTCTCTATATGTCTCCATGACCATTATCACCATGATAAAAAGTGATGAGATACCCAAAATTTGTTACCAGAACAGGAGGTGAGGGATAATCCTCCAAAAACACCTGCTCTGGTGACGTCTGTCTTCCCAATGGGACACACATAGCAAAAAAAGAAACAAGCGGGGTTTTTACCCAATCCCTATTCTATCCAAAACCTACAAAAACTATTTTAGATGTACTTTAACTGGAGACCAAGTTGATTTCTTATTGATAGTAAGGGGTTCTATATATGGGCTTTAATAAGGCTTGCTTGGCAAGCTTCTCCTCGGAGAGGCTTTGGTGGACTGGTGTACAGCATTGGGAAATATTGGTAAGTTTTAAAGCTTATTCATCTACCCCCAGACTTGCAGTATGATTTGAATCTCTCCCTCAACTGTATAGAGTAAAATATGTGTATAAAAATACCTTCTGGTTTTTAACTCCACATGCTGATATACAGTACTATAGCCCAGCTCTTAGAGATCTTCTTGTACCAAGTGTAATATCAGCAATCTCCCTTTTACCCTGCTCGAAGATACAGTGGTGTCCAGGTTTCTGAAATGTGTGTGTGTATATATATATATATATATA